ATATATATATGTGTGTGTGTGTGTATAAAAATACATCAAAATGTTACTTTTTTTGTCACTTATTGCCATTATTAGACCAGAAACATTACAAATTGTCTTTATTGTAATGGTCAGAACAATTTGAAAGTTGAAATTCTTGAATAATAAAATAAAATAAAATAATCAAATAAAATGTAAAACAAAATAATACATAATAATACAAATCATATAATGTGTTTGCTGGATCCTACCGCTGCACAATGTTTGATTTGCACTTTTTTTTTGGTTTTTCTCTTAAAATCTAAATGGGATAAACATATTGTCATGTTTGCAATACAGTGAGGCTCTGATATCAGAGAAATAGACACACAAAAACTAAAACTATAAAAGTAATATAAAAATGAAAATACAAAAAAATTAAAAATGAATGAAAATATTTAAAAACTAGGATGTAACTTATTTTATTTCAGCTAGTTGCCTAAGTGGCATTTCTCATTTTAATTTAGTTTAACTTTTAGTAAAACAACTTAAACTGAAATATTAATAATAATAATAATAATAATAGATTTATTAATATATATACCATTATTAGACCAGAAACATTACAAATTGTCTTTATTGTAATGGTCAGAACAATTTGAAAGTTGAAATTCTTGAATAATAAAATAAAATAAAATAATCAAATAAAATGTAAAACAAAATAATACATAATAATACAAATCATATAATGTGTTTGCTGGATCCTACCGCTGCACAATGTTTGATTTGCACTTTTTTTTTGGTCTTTCTCTTAAAATCTAAATGGGATAAACATATTGTCATGTTTGCAATACAGTGAGGCTCTGATATCAGAGAAATAGTTGGTAAGAATATAAGATTCATTCATGAACCTGCACAGCCTTTCTGCGAATCCATCTTTTGGGAGCGGGAATGGAGCAGAGCTTTTGCCCGTGGCGTGCGATTTGAGTTCAGGCAGTGGGGTGAAATTGACTGTTACAATAAACCGCAAGAAGCACCTCTTCTCCCAGAGAAAGCATTGTGGGGTGCTGAATTATTCATGCTTGCTTTATTGCAGATTGGCTCAAAGAGAGAAGTTAGCATGCAAGTCCTATGCAGAGTTTTCAGCACAAGGTGGCTCACAGAAATCGACAACAGACTCAGAATATAACCAGCTGATTAATTACATTTAAAGCGTACACTTTCTTATGCTCAACTGGCCAAGGACAGCCTAGATTCAGTAAGTTTGCTTGCTTTAATATGCAGCCATTTGTCACCCAATTGCATTAACTGGGGTCAGTAAGACTGGGGTCAGTTTTTTTTTTATTTTTTAAAGAGGTTAATACTTTTACTCAACAGGGATGCATTATTATTGACCACAAGTGACAGAAAATACATTTATAATATGATAGTGTTATAATGTAAAGGTTTCTATTTCAAATAAATGCTGTTCTTTTGAACTTTCTATTCATCAAAGAATCCTGAAAAATTGAATGTATCACGGTTTCCACAAAACTATGAAGCAGCCCAATTGTTTTCAACATTGATTATAATCAGAAATGTTTCTTGAATGGTTTCTGAAGGATCATGTGACACTGATGGGAGTAATGATGCTGTAAATTCAGCTTTGATCGCAGGAATAAATTGCAATATATAAAACACTTGCAATATATTCACATAGAAAACAGTTATTTAAAATTGTAATAATATTTCACAATAACTTTTAGTAGTTATACATTGTATACATTTTAGCAGTCGAAGTCTATGTTATAATAACATGCATATAATAAATTAATCTATTTAAATAATTTGTTATGATGCACACATGTAAAGCCATTAAAATAATCAATGTTAATGTAGTCAAAAAGTCACACACTTGTACATTACTAACACATTTTATTTATTTTGTTTAGCAATAAAAACTTTTTTGGTTAACCGAATAATTGGTGCATTATTTGTCAATACGGAGTCCTTACATTTCTGATTTGTTGACTGAATGCAAATAATAAAATGATGTTCTCTCAGCAAAAACGAGTGAAAAGGCAAGTATAATGCCTAGAAAGACAGCTACCGTATAATGAGTGCTAAATATAGAGCCGAGAGCAGCTTCTCTATTGAATGAGCAAACAGGCATCTTCTGTTTAATTCAAGCTAAATCAATGCAGATGACTTCAAACGTCACTTAGCCCAATTAGCGCAGCCGTGGAAGTGTACAGCGGTGAGAGCGTTGTGGGAATCGATCTGCGAATGGGATTACAACACCTGACTGGATGCTCACCGCGTCTACTTATGAGTCATGATGTGTGGCGTGGTGGAACTGTCATATTTGACAATGGATCGTAAAATTGGCTCCAGACCAGACTTGCTGACAGACCTGACAAGCGAACTTGCCGGCTAATGCTGTCATATCATTGTGTTGCCATTTTGCAAGCAGACTCAATTTACCACTAGGGTTTTGAAGGACGTTTTCACCAAAAAAAAAAAAAAAAAAAGATGGAGTGATAGCAATGAATTGGGTTCTTTCCTTGTAATAAAAAATATTAATGTAAAGTTCAAGATAGTATTAAGTGACACATTAAATACACAACATTATCATTTCGTCAATCATTGCACCTCCAATTACTATAGTGGTGTTTCGTTGCTGAATGATTCTGCATTTATGAACAAATCGGTTGAGTGAATGATTCAATAAGCCATTCATAAAAACAGCTGCTAAATTCAAAACTGTATACTAATATTACTATTTTTAGCAATAATCTTACTTTGGCATAAATAACATAAGCAATGTACTAGTACCTGGTTCGGAAATCAGCAAGTTGCTTGCTTCATTCCTGAATTAAACTGTTTTGAATGAATCAGTTGAATGACTGAATCAATGACTTAATCAATAAGACAGTGACTTGTCGCCACCTACAGGTGGTTTTAGTTTCATATTTAAAGTAGCATCATAGTTCTGTATACAGTATATTTATTTATTTATTTTTATTATTTATTATTTAACGCATTAATTTCCTAACATTATTTATGTAATTGTAACTGCAGTGTAAATGCATTCATGGCATCTCTGAGCTGCATCTCTGTGCAAATGCATCTAAATGCTACTTCAGATGCAGCTTCTGTGCCACTTCTGTAATGCAAAGATGGATTTTTTTTTTTTAATTGGTAACAAGGTGTCTTATTATTCTAATTGCATTTATTGAATAAATATATGAATGCAACTTTTATCCTGACTTTACGAATCCTGCAAAGTACTCTTATTTTTGGTGCTATAGTAATGGCCAGCCTAGTGTTACCTGAGTTCTCAAAGTCGCTGTAAGATGCTTCCCAAGTCTCCGCCATGCCGATGAGCGTGTTCTCCATGATCTGGAGGTCAGTGGTGGGACAGTTGCATTGTGGGAACTCATCGGCACACTGACAAATGCACTGACTGTTCTGGCAGATGTATTCTCCCTCTCCGTTGCACATGATGTAGCTGAGTGCCGACTGGACAAACTTCTCCTGCAGGTACTCGGGGAAAATGACCTGCAAACCTGAAAATGGGAAAGAGAATCAATGTTAAAGTCATTGCAGAGATCCAAAGACATTATTGATTTCACATCAGCGAGCAACAGGTAGAAAGTGCTGCAGATAGCCGACGACAGAACTTGATTTCACATTAAGCAGTGCGTCGGCCCGCTCTGGATAAGAGCACCTGATATGGACTCGCGTATGGACCCTACGTAGAGAGTTTAAAGTTCAACTGCAGTAAATGAGCTCAGAATATACAGATGACAGTGACAGTGAATCATGCTCTCGGAGAGCAGTAAATTTGTTGTGAAAGTTTTGCCAGAGGTCCACTTGACTTTGAACTGTCCCCTCGGAGTGGGAGGACTTTACATAATGGAATAAAACGGAGGAGTGATTGATGCATTCTGTCGTGATCGGCTTCGGCTTATTTACCAGGGCTGTCATAATATCCTCCACTGTGTGTGTGTGTGTTTGAGTGGGGGTCTGAATGTATGCTTGTGTTAAATGCAATAGCAACACTACACCACATAATAAACTTATGTGAATGATTCCTCGAATCCTGTACCACACCATCACAGAATCTACGGCTTAGGCCTGTAAGCGACCAAACAAAACACATATAGGGCCTTGAATATGAAATCCATTTTATTTCTTTCACCTAATTATGTTTCAATTTTTTATCAGATTATGTTAAACATATTTTTTAATAAGATGTATTATTATTATTATTATTATTATTATTATTATAAGTATATTCTGCTGTACAATAGTAATATAGTCAATTTCTTACAGTTAAACCAAACTTTTATTATGACAGGTTGTAGTGAAGACCACACTGTAAACCTCTCAGAAAACCTTGATAGCATCAGCCTGCTAAACACCTGAAACATCCTAGTAACTAGAGATTTGTGATACTGACAACAACTGGCAATATTTTTTTTAGAATTGTGTTGATAACAGTAATCTTTCTTGGCTGATTTCTTGACCTGTCATGTCAACTGACTACTTCAGCTTTTCATATTCTTCTTATTCTGTGCAGTAGTTCATTCACAACAGTGACATATATTAACTTTTTCATTAAGATGTGATATTTGATTTCCAGGGGATTTTACCATTATAATGGACTTTTTTTTTATAACCTTATTAGTTGAATGCGTAATGTTATGTAACATTCTTACATGTAATCAGTCAATTCAGTTAGAATAATAGGACGCTACAGGGCTGTTAAAAATCAAATATAATCAGTATCAACAAAATCCATCTTTGCACTGCAGAAGTGACACTCAAGAATTTTGATGTATTTTCACGGACTGTTTAATGCAGCTCGGAAGTGGCTTGAATGCATTTACACTGCAGTTACAATTACAATAATAATACAATACTATAATTACAATAATATAATTACATAAATAATGCTATGATATGAGTAATGAAGCACTTCTATGTACACAGACAATACTATTATTATTATTATTATTATTATTTCCCCATTCTAAGGCTAACATACTCAATAATGCTTAATTGTTGCACATCATTAAAACAAGTAGATGATACATATTAGACACCACTACTAGTAACTGAAAGTGAAGTGACATGTGGTCAAGTATGGTGACCTATACTCGGAATTTGTGCTCTGCATTTAACCCATCCAAGTGCACACACACAGTAGTGAACACACACACCATGAACACACCCGGAGCAGTGGGCAGCCATATTGCTGCGGCGCCCGGGGAGCAGTTGGTGGTTCGGTGCCTTGCTCAAGGGTCTCACCTCAGTCGTGGTTTTGAGGGTGGAATAGAGCACTGGTCATTCACTCCCCCCACTGACAATTCCTGCCGGACCTGAGACTCGAACCTGCAACATTCAGGTTACAAGTCCGACTCTCTAACCCAGTGGTTCTCAAACCTGTCCTGGAGTACCCCCAGCCCTGCACATTTTCTATGTCTCCCTCATATATCACACCTGATTCAACTAATCAGCTCATTAGTGGAGACTGCAAGACCTGAAGTGGGTGTGTCAGATATAGGGAGACATACAAAACGTGCCGTTTTGGGGGTACTTCATGGAGAGGTTTGAGAACCCCTGCTCTAACCATTAGGCCACGACTGCCCCGTAACTACATACCAACATGATAAAACAACTGCTAACACCTTACATCCACATCACATAGCAACAGGCAACAGCCATTAGCATTGCCGGCCACCCACAGACTCTAGCAGTGCACGGGCAAACACCATCTCTGTTTCTTCAAATGTAAAAAATTGGTTTGTTGATAGTTTTTTTTTGTAAACCTCAGTGAGGGAAGTGCACTAGTCATTCCTGAAGGACAAAAATTGTATCCATTTGTCATGCTACATATCTACAGCACATCAGGAGACGCAATATATCCAACATGATTCAAAAATAAATCAAAAAGCCCTATGGAAAGAGCTATTGAGTTACATGGGGGCTTTCATGCCAGAAACTGCATCATTCTCTTAAATAAATAATAAATCATACCTCAAGCATCAACATAAAACATGGTAATGGAAGCTAGCCCTGATATAATACAGCATATCCATTTCCAGTTGAAGAAAATGTGGCGTGTTCATGCAGATAATTGCTTCATAGTAACTACACATGTGAAGCATTATAGGACTGTGTTCGAGGTTATATTGCCTTTGCTTAAAAAAAAAACTGAAAATATATAATAAACACTAAAACAAACAAATATATAAATAAATAAAAGCATTAATGTGCATAGTTCATCAACTGCAGAAGGAAAATAATTAGATGTCACACAAACAACAGGTCTCACATTGACTGATCCTGAATATAAGCAAATATTACATTTAAAATACCATTTCTAAATGACATCAATTCATCTGTTGATATTACAGCAGACAGCAACCTTTATAATAGACGTACTGTTGTTTATTAATGTTCATACTTATGGATTTAACCTTATAGCAGCAACCTGGCAGTTTTGTTTGTCATTTACCCGGAAGTGAGCTGGGTTGGATTGGCCGTTTAAATTCCCAGCATCTCTGAGTCACAGCATCGCCAAACAGTCAATGTGACAGATATAAGCTGCCATAAGAGTCCAGGACTGATCATCACAGCGGCTCGACTGTCTCTCTCTCCATCAGACTGACTGTGGAGCCCTGAGACAATATTCATTTAGCTTGATGTATTCCTGCTCCTGCAACTTTAATGTGATTTGTGGGAGAATCCAGATGGTGGGTTCATGGATGGGTGCAGCTCGACGACACTGGCGGTGCCAACAGCCCTGGGTTCACAATAACAGCCACAACTCAACATACACACAGTCCCCTTCTCCATTACTGAAACACTGCAGTGTCAAAAGAGGAATTCCAGTGCTTTTCTTTCAGCCTTTCTTGCTCTCCCTATTGTCATTTTATCAAACAGCTCTGTCTGAAGTTTGAAGTTTCATTCATGTTTAAATTTGTTGTCTCTTTCATTGAGCCTATTTGAATATTTCTGTATAGAAAATCTAAAAATCTCAAAAAAAACAAAAAAAAAAATCAGGTCAATTTTCACTAAAACCTAAAGAAAATGTGAAATTATATTTTGCTTAAAAAAAGTAAAATTTTCAAGTCTAACATTAATTTCCAAATAAATGTACCAAGGCTGCATTTATTTGATCAAAAACACAGTAAAAACAGTAATTTAATAAGCTATTGTTATATACATTGTCATTTATTCCTGTGAAACAGGAAGAAGAAGGGGAAAAAACATACTATATAAAATACTGTGTTGGCTTTATATATAAAACCCAGGGATAATTATCTTAATTCTTACAATGATGCCACAATGCAAGCAACTAAAAATGCTTTAATTTCTTTAAGCAAAATAATAATCAAGCTAAATTATTTAAATATAAAAAATATTTAAACTTCCTCTTTTTTTTTTTTTTTTTTTTTTCTGCTAAGTATGTCCTGGACATGTTTTTTACTAAACGTCACGTTTCATTGGTATGTTTCACTTGATTATGAAATTATGTTTCTTCTCTTAATTTTCACTTGTTCACTAATGTTTCACAATTTTTACTAAGGGAAAAAAAAACAAAAAAACTTTCTGGCAAAAACATTCTGGTTAACACTGCAGGATGATTGCCAAATTTCACTTCATTCAGCTGATGTGAAAAACTGTCCTCGTAGGAGACAAATACAGTGTGTGATGAGCAATCAGGTGTAAAAATACTAATGAGAGCCTGTGGATGCTGAAAGAGGCAGCTTTCATCAGACCGTCTCACATATTCTCAGACTGTGTCCACAACCAAAGTCATCAAACGTCAATGATGGCAGACAGCAATGGAGTTTAATGGGCTAAAACTAAAGATAAAACAAGGCAGAATTTATCTGTTTATTCTTGCATTTCAACCCGTCAAAAACCAGCCGTTCTCCCTGTGGCTAAGCACGTAAATTGCAGGTCTAGTTTATTTAATTGCATCCCGTACATCATTCAGCAGTATGGACATTTTGGGTTCATGTTATTAAAGTCTGTCTGCCCTGGATTTCATCATAAACTCAGCATCTATTTAAACTAATCTGTGTTGCATTTGTACATTCTGTAGCATTGCATTTCTATTCGCAGGTAATACCTGTGTGTTACTTTAATATAATCCCTTTTCGGTCCGGGTCTGGTCTTGACTTCAATTCTGGCGAGAGGATGGATACCTCCTAAATACCAACCAATAAATGCATTTCCTCTTAAGGTCTGAACTATTGATCAGCTCTTGCATGTGCCCTTTATTCAGGTAAGAAGCATGTTATCTAAATGTTAAACTTTGTCCATGGGACTTGGCCTTGACTGCTCTGCTATTTTTAAGGCTTGTAAATCGGGCCTGATTCCAGAGTTCACAGGCTTTTGGCAACGGCGCGGCTTGCGATGCCACGGTCCGCCTCATAAGCAAGGGTTTCATCAAAGATTAATTGAGCATTGTATGCCCCCAAATAAAAAAAATAAATAATAATAATTACCTAATGCACTAATGGAGTGAGAGGCATTACTTGAATAAGGCGTTA